AGTTCTGTGAGCAGGTAGCAGTAGCTGAGCAATGCATGCATGGGAATTGAACTGATGAAAGTGATCAGAGGGAATCTGGGAAGCTGGTTAGTAGTCAGATAATACACAAAATATCAGATATTAGATGTGTGACATTTTTTAAATAGCTACTTTCATTTGGCCCGATTTATGAGCCTTCCTGCATTTTTTAGCCTCACCTGTTTCCTGGGCCCTCGACCGGTTAGACAAAGAAAGTGCCTGCCTCAATGCCCTTGCCTCATTCCCATGCGTGTCAGCTTCCCCGGGGAGGCCGACTTCAGCATATTCTCCACTGTACCCACTGCAGTGGGAGCTGCGACAGCTACAGCACCCAGGCAGGCCCCAGAGAGACTCAGAGGCTGTAGTTTCCACTGCCCTGTATTTCTAGACCCCAAGTGCCTTATTGTGAGGCATGGTAGCTGGCTACTTTAGTGGCTGTCCTGAGGGCCTAGGAAGAACATGGAAATTAAAGTCCCACGGGGAAAATGTTGATGAATGGAGAAAACCTATAGATAAATTCCTTCTGCTTTCTTCCTCTGATACATTTTTCTGAGGTGCTGTGGTCTGTACAGGACGCCTGGAGATCATCCCTTGTGACTGACCGAGTGGCTCTGTTTTCTGGTCTGAAGCTGTGGCCAGCAAGTTAACCTCCCCCTACCAACTGATTTCCCTTCTCACTGTTCCACTTCTCCTTTTCCCTCTCCATTTCACTCTTGCTGCCCTGCAACTGTACCTCTAAAGCACACCAAAATATTGGCACATACTTTTAATTTTTAAAAATGTATTAGTACATATGTAATCTGCTTTCCAAATAAACCAGCAAAGCAAGAAGTACTGTTCAATCCACACATAGAAACAGAGCTGAAGCACAGACAATACCCCTAGATAGTCAAAGTTTCAAGCCAATAAATGAATCCTAAAGTGGTAGATTTTCACTGTAAAACATCAGGGGAGCTCTTTTTTGAGTAAAGACAGGGTAATCCTAAAATTGCTCTTTTGTTCTTTTTTCTATCTAAACAAAGTCAATTCTATTAAAATCTAAATGGATGCTAAGGAGAAAGCCCTAGGATGCTACAAAGAGTTTTCCTTTTATTATGACTTCTTTCACAGATTGGCTCCATGCCATGGGTACTGTGGAGAGGCACTGAATTTAAAAACAATACAGAAGAGAAATAGCACCCTGGAAGCTGCTTTTCCTGAAGTAATTCATAACATGAACTGGCATGATACAACTGTTGTGAAATATTTCTGTTTAAAAAAAAAAATGAATTGACATTCTATGTGGCTCTGGTCATATCTAGGCCAGCAGTTCTGAGGCCAGGATTAGTTCTGAGTATTACTGGTGAGCAGGCTAGAGAATCTGACCTGAACACAAGCAAAGTTAGAATCATTGTCACAAGTACTGCTGATGCCTGCAGTCAGTTTGGTCTGTAGCTATTGAGATGCTATGGGTAGCTGTTCTGTTCTCTATTTTATGCTTGTAGAATGTCTTCTATTTTCTCTTCTGTCTGATTAGTCTATGCATTTGGATTTCTTTTTGCCATGTTCCATTACAGAGGTTGACTCTCTATGCCTTTCTCCTCCACATCTGGAATCTCACCAAAATGTACTAGAACAAGATGCTTCTAACATTTGAGCCCTTTTGTAAGGGTGTTGATTGCAACTTGGATAACTTCAGTTTAATCCAAGGTGGAAGATTTTTTCTGATTTTGGGGAAGAAAATAAATGTCTAAAAATAAAGCTTAGGCATAAAAATAGGGCCAAATACTCATTAACTGCCTCACTTAGCTGAAAGCTGAAATTATTTCAACATCGCTAAATCAAGCGTTTGTATAAAAGAGGTTGAGTATGTTTTTTATTCATAGTACTTTATCTTAGATGATAAATGGGTTACTGTAATTTGTCATTTTATTCAAAAGACATGAATTAAATCATTCTCAAGGGCCTAATCTTTGGCTCATGCTCATGTTGACCCTTGAATTGGAGCACTTATATGCACAGCCTTTTGGAATGTGTGTTATAAGCTGTTCTCAAAAAGACTGAAGGGCATGCAGGACCTGGGGCCAGAGTATGTAAGGCTTTGTAGGCTAGCATTAAGAATTTGGATCCAAGTGTGGTGGGAAGCCACTGGAGGGATTTAATTTGAAGGATGCAATAGAATGATTAATATTTTTAAAATATGACTCTTGGCTGCTGTGTTAGCAGTGGATTGTAAAGAGGCAAGAGTAGAAAAAGGGTAACTAGCCAGATAGCTATTTCTGATATGCAGGTAAGAAGTGATAGTGGCTCTGGAGTGTGATGGTAATGGTGGAATTCGAAGTACATGAATAATGGAGTTTTTTCTAATCCATTAATGAAAATGACTGGTTAATGGATTGGAAATGGGATATAAAAGAAAGGAAGAATCAAGGTTGATTTCTAAGTTTCTGGCCTAAACAACTGGGAGGATTTGTTACCAATTATTGAGATGAAGAATAGGGTAATTTTTGTTGTTTTGTCTTGCTTGGAGGGAGCAGAGAACAAATATAAAAGGAATAAGGTAGAAATAAAGGGCTAATGTTAATCCTGTTGTACCTATAAGGAATCAAAATGAATAGGTCAAATGTGCAATTGAGTGTATGACCTTGACTCAGTATATAAACTTGCCACATTCCCACCAAATATTCTCATTCAGAATCTTGGAACAGAGGCACTCATTTAGGCAGAGAGTATAGGCATATCTCGTTTGTACTTCACAGATAATACATTTTTTATAAATTGAAGTTTGGTGACAACCATATGTCAAGCAAGTCTATCAGCACTATTTTTCCAACAGCATTTGCTCACTTCATATCTGTGTCACATTTTAGCAATTCTTGTAATATTCTAAACTTTTCCATTATTATTGCATTTGTTGCATGATCTGTATTCAGTAAGCTCTGATGCTATTATTGTAATTGTTTTGGGGCACCGTGAACTGTGCCATATAAGATAGCAAACTTCATGAACATGTGTGTTCTTACTACCCCACTGACTGGCTGATCCCCCCTCTCTCTACCTCTTCTCAGGCCTCCTGTTCTTTGAGACAAACCCATATTGAAGTTAGGCCGACTCTAATGCATAAAAATAGGCCCTCTAAGTGTTCAAATGAAACATCTTTCACTTCAAATCAAAAGATATAAATGATTAAGCTTAGTGAGGAAGACATGAACAAAGCAGAGATAGGCCAAAAGCTAGGCCAAATTGTGAATGCAAAGGAAAAGTTCTTGATGCAAATTTAAAGTGCTACTCCAGTGAACACACAAATGATAAGAAAGCTAAACAGCTCATGGATTATCTGGAGAAAGTTTTAGTGGTCTGAATAGGAGATCCAATCAGCTACAACATTCTCTCAGGCCAAAGCCCAATCCAGAGCAAAGCCCTAACTGTCTCCAATTCTGTGAAGGCCAAGAGAACTTAAGAGGCTGCAAAAGAAAAGTTGGAAGCTAGCAGAGGTTGCTTCATGAGTTTAAAGGAAAGAAACTGTCTCCATAACATAAGAGTACAAGGGGAAGCAGCAAATGCTGATGAAGAAGCTACAGCAAGTTATCCAGAAGATCTCACTAAAATAGTTAATGAAGGGGTTACACTGAACAACAGATTTTCAGTGTAGACAAAACAGCCTTCTACTGGAAGAAGATGCCGCTTAGGACTTTCATGGCTAGAGAGGAGAAGTCCACGCCTGGCTTCAAAAATTTTCAAAGGACAGGCTGATTCTCTTGTTAATGATGAACGCAACTGCTGGTTTTCAGTTGAGGCCAATGCTTATTTACCATTCTTAAAATCATAGGGCCCTTAAGGATTATGCTAAATCTTCTCTGCGTGTGCCTTATAAATAGAAAAACAAAGCCTGGATAACAGCACATCTGTTTATACATGATTTACTGAATATTTTAAGCTCACTTTTGAGGCTTGCTTAGAAAAAAAAAAAGACTTCTTTCAAAGTATTACTGCTCCTTGACAATGCACCTGGTCATCCAAGAGCTTTGATGAGATGTAAAATGAAATGAATGTTGTTTGCATGCTTGGTAACACAACATCAATTCTGCAGCCCAGGGATCAAGGAATGATTTTGACTTTCAAATCTCAAGAAAGACATTTCATAAGGCTATGGCTGCCATAGATAGTGATTCCTCTGATGGGTCTGAACAAAGTAAATTGAAATGTTTCTGGAAAGAATTCACCATTCTTGAAGCCACTGAGAACATTTGTGATTCATAGGAAGAGGTCAAAATATCAACAAGAACAGGAGTTTAGAAGAAATTAATTCTAACCTTCATGGATGACTTAGAGGAGTACAAGACTTCAGTGGAGGATGTAACTACATACATGATGGAAATAGCAAGAGAACTAGAATTAAAAGTGGAGCCTGAAGATGTGACTGAATTGCTGCAATTTCATGATAAAACTTGAATGGGTGAGGAGTTGCTTATGATGAGCAAAAGCAGCAGTTTCTTGAGATGGAATCTATTCCTGGTGAAGGTGCTTTGAAGGCTGTTGAAATGACAAGAAAGCATTTAGAATATTACATAAACTTAGTTGATGAAGCAGAGGCAGGGTTTGAGAGGACTGGCTCCAATTTTGAAAGAAGTTGTGTGGGTAAAATTCTGTCAGACAGCATCACATGCAACAGAGATATCGTTTCTGATAAGAAGTCAGTTAATGCAGCAAGCTTCACTGTTGTCTTATTGTAAGAAATTGCCCCAGCTTACCCACCCTTAAGCAACCACCAGCCTGATCAGTCAGCAGCCATCAAGGCAAGACTATCCACAAGAAAAATTATTACAACTCACTGAAAGCTCAGATGATGGTTAGCATTTGTTTTAGCAATAAAGTTTTTTAATGAAGGCATGTCCACTCGTTTTTTTAAACATAGTGTTATTGCACGCTTAGACTACAGTATAAACATAACTTTTATATGCACTGGGAAGCAAAAAAAAATCATTTGATTTGCTTTATTGTAGCGGTCTGGAGCTGAATGTGCAATACCTCCGAGGTATGCCTGTATAGACCAAGTGTAAGGCCTGAGAACATTCTGTGTTTCCACATAAATAGGGAAAGCCCAATAAAGGATTGAGGAGCAGCAGTGAGGAATGAAAAACTAAGAGAATGTGGTGGTCAAGAAATGAAGAGAAGACCTTATGTGAGTAAAGTACCGTCCAACTATGCTGAGTGTTGTTCGGAGATTGGATAAGTTGAGGACACACAGGCCAACCATGCCCAGCGTGGAAGTTTTTGACAGCATGAAGTTCTTAGTGACACTGACCAGGGCAGTGTATGACATGGCATGCAGACAGAGGTCCAGAGTGGACTGAAGGGAGATTGTAAAGGGGAAATGGGGATGGCTATTGAGACAATTATTTCAGGAAGTTAATAGTGATGAAAAACGGGTAGATAACTAATCAAGAATCAGAGAGAGAATATTGTTTTTTTCTCAAGTTCTTAAGATAGGACATATTGGAACATTTATGCTTACAAGATCTAGTAGAACCTGATGATACAGTAGAGAGGGAATACAATTGCAGGGACAGATTTATTGAATGTAAAACAAATGTGGGAAGAAGAGCAAAAGTGAAGGGTTTTGCTTTGGATAAGATAAGGGGAAGCAGAAAGTGCACACAGCTGTTAATGGTTTGGTCGAATTGATAATAGGAAGAAGAGGGAATATCCAAATTAATTGTGACTAATGAAGCAAGAGCATCAGCTAAAAGGGAGGTGGAAAAAGGAACTTTGGAGGTTTCAAGAAAGGTGGCAAATATTGGAGTTACTATGAACAATGGGATGGTGAACTTGTAGTGGGACAATAGATATACAGTGTCCCAAAGTTACACTGAACAAGGTGGACATGAGTTAATTTTTGCTTAGAAAAAGACGTTAAATCTTGCTTGTTTTTTCAAGAACCTATACAGGTAAAAAGAATTATTATATATTTACATATGTTAATAGCAGAAAATGAGTTTAATGATTAGTTATAATCTTACCATTCAGAGATAATCATTGTGATATGTATGTTTTCATACATTATACATACAAATACACCTATATGAAGAAATTGTGATAACTAATACTATTTTACAAGTTACTGCTTTACCAAACATTTTAGCTATTGCTCTGAGAAAGATGGCAGCTATTGGAGTGATGACTTCTTTTTATCATTTCATGATAATTTTGTATTGCAAATGTTTTCCCTGCTTATTTGTATTTTAATATGTTTTTATTGCTTTTACAATTTTTATATAGACATATCTACAATAAAAAGTTTATAGTCATGTTAAAAAGGCCCTCTTCTCAGGCTGTATATTCAATTATTTTCTTCTAGTCTTTAAAATGTAAAAATGAAGCCATAAATTATTAATCTACCAGGTTTTATTTTGATCAGATGTGATGAAGGAATCTAATTTTATTTTTTAGAATAGTTTCAGTTATTCCCAAATCTCATATCCTACAACAGATTTAGAATACAACCTTGTAATAGTAGAGCTCCCAGATGATTTCTTCAAAATGTTCTTCTAGAGTTTTTAAAACTTATTATATGCTATTCCTTAAGTTATTTTTTAAAGAGTAAGAATTATCTCAATCTCATCACCAGGGAAATTAAGTTATATTTTACTTGCTTGAAGTTCATAGCATTACAAACTTTTGTAAAAGATTAGTATTGTGTGTGTATATATTTTGCCATTTGTATTTTTTCACTGTTTTTTAGTTTTTGAAACACTCTGTGAGTCAGGATTGGCTGCCTTATGATTTACACTATTATTAGACATTTAAGAATATATTTCTAGGTTATGTTTTTTATGTGTGATTATAAATAACATCACAGTTAATGTCATTGACATTAATATTTAATTGGATTTGTTTTTAGTGTATTTACAGTAAAAGCAAAAACTATTACCCAGAAGCCACTGTTGAATGTATCCCAAATCTTTATTCACTCATAGCCACTTTTCAGTACCTACTACAGAGCAGGCATTAATTTTAAGGTGAAACCTGCTCTTCAGAGTTAACATCCTTTTGTATATTTAGTGATGTGTCATGTCACTCTCTTATGTGTGGAAATATGTGTGCTTTTCAAAAAGGGACTGTGCTGTTTAAAACATGCATTGTAATCTGATGTTTTTCCTAGAGCATCAAGAGCTTTCCATTCCATTGAACCATCTTTTACAGTATCATCTTTAATAGCTGCAGAAGAATTTTTTGTGTGGAGGTACTATAGTTTATTTAATCTTTTGTAGTCAGACACTTTCTTTTCCAATTCCTGTTTGCACTCAAAATCCATAACATGCATGTTTCGCTTCTCTTTGCTAATGTAACTGATATCACCTCCACAAGACATGAAGGCCCAGGCAGCACTCTCTTTCTTCCTCATTCTCCTACTATCTCCAAGCGGATGTCAAGGTAAGTTCCTTGATAGTTATTTGTATCATTGGATGGGAACATGAGCCCACAGTGCAATTTCCTCGGTAGCCACAGCATTGTGAGCCTTTGTGAAAGATCAGGCATGAGACACGGAAGACAGACTGGAAGTCTACAGGAAGATTAACATTCATATTTATTCCTGTCTACTCTAATTAAGGCTTTCTAATCTGTTACCTACGACCAGATATAAAATCACTAGAAAGGCAAGTTTGATTGGTTGATTGATTTTGTACCCTTGGTACTTAACACTTGACAGAAAGCATTATTCACTTTGTTAGATCCTGTGACAGGCATTTTTAATTATCCAATGGAATATTAAAGGTGCTTACTAGAGCAATTAGGGAGCATTCCTTTTCTTTCCCACCTTTCCATCTCTTTCTCTCAACATAGTAGCACACCCCTCTTGCTCTTTGTACAGAAATAAACCAAATCTCTCTGAGGAAGGGAAGTGGGGCATGGTGAGAGTCAAAAGGGCCTCACAGGAGGAGACAGAGGTAAAAGAATTGTGACAGGGTCCTTGAGCCCCTGGTTCTACCAGGTCAGCGGCCTTGGCCAATGTCTAAAGTTTACTCCATTGTCCACAAGATAGGTCCTATCCAGTTCCAGTGTCATAAAATCCATAGATAAAGCACACAGTCTACTTAAAATGTTTTGTGAATTGGTCAAAGAAGCTGTATGGAAGTGCAGTATGGGGAATATAGCCAATAATACCATTATTTTTTTGTATGTTGACAGATGGTAACTGCACTTATTGTGGGGAGCACTTAGTAATGCATGTAATTGTTGAATCACTATGTTGTACATCTGAAGCCAATATAATATTGTATGTCAACTATATTTCAACAAAAAATGAAAAGAAGCTGAATGCTGCCTTCAATAATTATGAAATGGCTAAGTATATTTTCTTTGCAAAAAACTTGATTGTTATGAATCTATTTGCTTTTAAAAATCAACCTCTGAAGTTGAGAGTTAATATATATCTATATCTATCTATCTATCTATCTATCTATCTATCTATCTATCTATCTATCTATCTATCTATCTATCTATCTATATATCAGGAGGAGTGGACTTTCACATTTATACCCAGAACAATGTTCCTTAACTACATTTTGATTAATTGATAGAATAGTTCTCTAAAACCAAATAAGTAAGTTACCTCATTTTCCCTTTCAGACTCCTGCCCGTGTGCTCCCTTGCCTGAGACTAATGTCCATATATTCCTAACAGATTCCTGAATCCAGTATTGTCCCCTTCATCCTCAAAATATTTCTTAAAAAGACCGAGTTAGGTTTGCTATATTCTTTAAGGTCCTGCTGACTCCTAGACAGCTGGGTAAACTAATTTGTTATTGTTATAGTAGGTGTTAAAAGCGAATATGTTCAGGGAATAAAAATCAACAGGAGTCTTTTACATATATAACATACATAATTTCTAGTAACTGTAGCAGGCCAGGATCAGAGGAGGGATGAGACAATTGATCAAGTGGGAGCAAACTAATTTTTTTATGCTTTAGGCTATTGCCAGTTCTCATAATTACACTAAATCAAGCATATATTCTACTGAAATTGCATAAATTCTGATGGAAAGTTTCATGGCATGTTTCTAGTAATCAGATTGGCAAGGGTTCTTGATGATGGGGTCTGTTAATGATCAAGCTGCTGACCTAGGATAGTTCTAGGTAAAGTTCTGATAGAACCTTTGATAAGCACCCATCACTAATTCTCTTCATAACTGCTCTTGATTTTAGATACATTGTTTTTAGCTTCCTTCTTTCATCTTAGTACTATGAATGAGCAAACAGTCATTGGAAGACTTGATGAAGATGTAATTCTCCCTTGCACATTTGAGAGTGGACCTGAAGTTGTAATTCACTGGAAGAACCAAGATAACAAAATTTACAAATACTACAAAAACAGTGACCAATTAGAAAATCAAGATGCCAGATACAGAAACAGAACATCCCTCTTCCATAGTGAAATTCACAATGGGAATGCCTCTTTATCTCTCAGAAAATTAAGCCTTCTAGATGAAGGAATTTACGTGTGCTACGTGGGGACAGCAACTAGAAAAATCACACACAAAGTGGTACTAAAGGTGGGAGGTAAATATGTATAGAAGGTTTTATAAAATATAACAATGATATCATTCCATGTTTTTCTGAAATATCTTTTTCTTAATATGCTATGGGCTTCCTTCCAACTCAATACATATACATCTACCTCATTATTTTTATTGCATAGTATCTCATAGCATAGACATGCTATAATCAATACACCCATTCCTCCACTGGTAGGTATTCAGTTATTTCCAGTGCTTCATTATGAAAAAAAATGTTGTGATGAATATCCTTATATTTAATACCGGAAGAGGATCTGAAAGAAAAGTATCATATATAAGATTTTAATGTTATTTCCACTAGCAGTACAAGAGTATCCTTTTTGCCCTTAGTCTTATCAAAACCTAGTATTATCTTAAAAATTTCTACCAATATGAGAGCTGAAAAAAATAGTGACTTGTTAATTTAAATTACATTTTTCTGTTTGCTAATGAAGCTGATTTCAATATAGGCTTTCTTCCTGTCCATACTAACTCTATTCATTTATTTATTGAAGGAGGGTGATTTTCTAATGGATTGCTTTATCCTGTCCTTGTTTCTTCTCCCTCTGCCCCTTCAGACCTTGACTTAGAAATCTCAGAATTATGTGTAAATAAAGACTCAAAAAGACTGAATTAGTACCTGAAGAGTACAGAGTGCTGAATGAGCTCATTTATAGACTTCCACACCCCCACATTTTGGTTGCTCAGTGAGGCCTTTAGATTTCTTTCTAGAATTCTTTGAAGAAAATAGAAATTGCTAGTTGCTATGCATCCATGCATGCTCTTTTTTTTCCCCTTGTAGATAATCACACTATATCTTAAGGTTTGACAGAGTTTTTATTTTGGTTTTCCTTTTAGTAAATGCCAAGTTTTGCTCATAAAGCTTAGCTTTTCAGTTCATGGTTATTAATATAGTAAGTGTTCTGCACAGATGGCCTAAAAAGAAACCAATAATGACAGTTTCTCATTTCTGCCCATCCTTCTCCCTGATAGCTTTCATCACACCTGCAATGAAGTATGAAAAGAGGAACACAAATAGCTTCTTAATATGCAGTGTGTTAAGTGTTTATCCTCGTCCGATTATCACATGGCAAGTGGACAATATACCTACCTCTGCAAGCAGTATGGAAGAAAATGGCTCTTTGGGGCCTTTTTATGTTAACAGTAGAATAAATATTACAGGATCAAATTCATCTTATGAATGTGCTATTGAAAATTCATTGCTGGAGCAAACATGGACAGGGAGATGGACAATGAAAGGTAAGCTCCATAGGGCTCTCTGTGAACATGTGCTACACCAGAGGTTGGGAGGGAACAAGGACCAATTTTCAGGGAAAGAAAGAAAATGTATCTGCAGCAGTCGGGAGACAGAGACTGGAGTCCCAGGCCTAATGTTTACTGGCTGTTATTACCTTAAGCCATCATTGTTCCTTCTGAGCATTAGCTCCTCACTGATAAAACAGCAGTAATTCTTACCTTTCTAGGTGTTTATGAGTTGAAGGAAAACATTTGTGAAATTGAAAGTAGCAAACCTATCTGTGAATATTACTATATTTCTCTGATTCAGCCTCTACACAGGATTTTCTACCTGCATTGCACTTTTAAAAGATCAGAGAAGGAAAGAATAGTTGTCTATTAGCAGGCCACAACCTCTAAGTCTTACCAATCTTTCAACCAAACAAATATTACTTAATCAGTATTATTGCTTCTGTTTAGTCTCTTTCCATACTTTAGCCCATTAATCTTTATCAACACCTCTGTCATAGCATGAGCAGCTTTAACACTCCTTCCTCTCATTTATTTGAACAAACCCAAACTCTGATTAATCTCTATACCTATAACCTACTGTTCAAGAGAAGATTAAGGGGAAAAAAATTTAATTTGACACCGCTTATCTAATTCCAAAGGAAAATTGTCTTATATTTCACTAGAGGCAAAGCAAAATTTTTCTGTAAATCTCCATTCTATGGAGAAAATGGAGATTAGCTCTCCTTACTGGCCTTTTCTTCCCCTGAGTTTCATATTTTCAAAATGCTCACCAAGACACTAAATGATGAATTATTTGCCACCTTTACCTGACTTCAGTGTTCAAAGGATGGGCAACCCAATGCACACTTCTCATCAGCCAGGCAGCTGTGGAAATGGATGGGAAGTGGGAATGGGTTGAAAATGTTAATATTAAATTGTAAATATTTGTATGGAAAATCCTGTTTTCTCTTGTTTATTCAGAACTGAGTGTCCTGAAGCTCCAATAGTTCCTTAGGCTCCATCCAGTGTTGCCTTGTTGAAGGTCTCTTATGTGCCAAGCTTTGTTGTTCTCAAAATGTGAACTTAAAACCATGAACTCGTAATTACTCATTTCTGAATCCGCAGTATTCAGTACGAACATGTACAAATACAACTAAACCAGGAAGGTAGCATACTAAGGGAGCCATTAATTCTCTTCACTGTGGTTGGGTATGAATGGGGTGGTTACAGAATGTATGCTTAAGGAGGTTGCATAAAGATGGATTTTAAAAGTGTAGTAGGAAATTTGAGAACACAGGCATCTCGCCTTAACAAAACAAAATAAAAACCAATGTACAAAAGCCCAGGGGAGTAAATATTGCCTGAATTTGTGGAAGTGGAAGTGGTTGAGAGTGAAGCTTAAGTATCAAGAGATAAGCTGGAGAGGGAGGTAAGAACCAGACCAAATGCCTCCATCTTGGTAAGGAGCTTGCATGGTATCCTGGAGGTATAATGGGGCCAAAGAAGGATTTGAAGCATCAGAGAGACCTGGACTTGCATTGTAGATGGCTGGCTTTGGCATCACTCTCTTACAGGTGGACTCTCCCTGGTGAGTCTAGAGCCAGGGAGAACAATTCCTGATAATCCATGGAGGTATACAGAACCCCAGAACAGGAAGCACAACATGGGGCTGGATCTAGAGTGACAAGCTGAGATTGCCCCCAGACACAGTGCTCTAAAAGAACTCAGTCCAGTGGGGGATTTACCTGCACACAGTTGGAAATACACTTCTTACGTGCAGTAAAAGAAACTTTGACCAGAAAGAGATTAAAAAGGTGTTAAAACCAAAATAGTAATAGATTTCTAGAGAGCAGAGTGACAAGAGAAGAGTACACCAGCATTTGAAAGGTCACCAGAAGAACATTGAGTTAAAAAGGCTGGTACCGGTAACAACATTCTTGAGTGCCCACTGGGGGACTAGAGGAGATAAAAAACAGGTGTGTCATTTCCCTAGCTGGCCCAGTTTTAGGCCTCCTTGAAGACCTGAACTTAACCGTGGTGGCAGACTTTAAAATAGTGGTAATAAAGCTTTTCTTTTAAGAAACTCCACAATACAAATATCTAATTGCTTTTCAAAAATGTATTTTCAAATATGTTTCTAAATGTATTTGTACCTGGAAAATTTATTTGAAAATTTTATTTTCATTTATGTTTCCTTTTCTGTATTGTTATTAGATGGCCTTCATAAAATGCAAAGTGAAAATTTTTCACTTTCATGTGAATTTGTGAACAATTTTTTTCTACTAAATCAAGAGTTCATAGTCACTTGGTCCAGAGTGCAAAGTGGAACTTCCTCCATCCTGGGTTACTTTCTGAGCTCCTCACAAAATACAACCATCAATGAACCCCGACTTTCATGGAAAGGAGAGCTAATAAACCAGAGTGACTTCTCTTTGACTCTGAAGGATCTTGGCCTTTCAGACAGTGGGGAGTACTTATGCAATATTTCTTCAAGCAAATATACTTCACTCACTGTGCAAACATTGCATGTAGGTAAGTTACAAGGAGGGCTGGTTAATGGGTTTTGGCTATACTAGTGGAGATTGTGACTATCAAACAGAAGCATAAGGTTGGTATTTCAAGAATACTTTTGATTAGCATTTCTGAACATGTCATCTACAGGATACTGCTAGTCAAGATAATAGACAAACTCCATCCTTCAACCACAGGAAAGTCTTGCATTAAAAATAAAAAGGAAGAAAGAAAGAAAGACACTAAACTCCCATAAGATTTCCTTCTCAGGGTCTCTAGGCTTCATAAACCAGGAGGGAACCTATATATACAGAGACTCTGTGAGCTGAGCATCTTCAATTCCTGCTTACCGCTGTGTTTAATACATGCTTTAGGGTCTGGGGTTTGGGGAGTTGAGGTTGTAGGCACAGTGGGAAGTTAGAACTGGAGCTCTCCTGGATGCTGTGGAACATGGTCTGTGAACCTGGTGGAAACACCAAAGGACATTAAAAACACTACGTGAATGCCTGGTTCAGCTCATTTTTTACATTTACTGATAGGTAAGTGCCAAAACTCAATATTTAAAATATTTCTAGTCTTCTCTCCTTGGAATTATGGAATGTATGCTCATGAAGTTGACTTTCTGGGTGGGCTGATTGAGTCCCTTACCCTTAGCTATCAATTTGACATTGTGGGAGACCATAGCAGCTCTCTTTTTTATTCTTTTATTAAAGATATTTGAGTTAGTGGAACATATGTTTTAGAAATTGTGTTGTGGTTGTAGTTGTGAAAATTGGGCGGAATACAGATTTGGAGGCTTGGTGATTATATGTAGTGTGATTTGGAGATAAGAACAGAGTTGTCCTTAGGTCAAGTGGACTTCACATAGATAGAAACTTCTAGACACTGAGTGATAACACTTCTTTTGTAGAACTGTCATTTTGAGACTACTAAAAACTGGGATGCATTTGAAGTTTCTAGTTTTCACCAAATTAGGAGTGTCAATTTTATGTAAAACACAGTTAAGATTGCATCCTATTTTTTACAATGTTACCTCGTGTTGGTTTCATTTTGAAGTGTAGAAAAATAATCAGGAAGAAATGGTCTGAAGCTAAGATATGACCCCTTTTAATAACCAGGGGTCTAATTTTCAGTTTATACAAAGTGAAGCATCAGGACCTTTCCATCTCTGACAAAGAAAAGAGGTTTTGCAGAACCTCTCATTCCCAAGCCAGCCCAGCCAGTCAAGACTGGAGGAGAGTCTACGCACACTTTCCCTCCAGGAGGAGGTCTGTAGCAGGAGCCACCCAGGCAGAAGAGAGAACACGGCATATAGTCCTAGTACCCTTGACATCACTCTTTCAAAGAAACTTGGTTTTCTATTCTGAATTGCAATTTTCTACTTGTTGCATTGCCCAAGAGATACTACAAATTGGAAAAGGAGGCCCAAATAGGGAAACCCCATAATTCCTGGAGTCTAGGTCTGCTCAATAAAGGTTTCACTGAATTGAATGGAATTCAATAACTTGCTAAATTTTGCTGCTGAATCAATATGTGACCTTGAGCAAATCTCTTTAGATAGGAGGGTCATGTATACTGCAAGAAGCTATACCTGAAGGATTTTCTTCAGGAGGAAAAATATGCACATGAAAACACTTTAGAAACCATGTTAATATTTCTACCCAATTGTTCCCTCTTTACATGGGTATAGAATTTCAGAATGACACAGATGTGTGGAGAGATTAATATTATATGTTTGCAGAATATTATTAATTTAGAGTATGTTCATAAAAATGAACATCTGTTATATAGAGCTATTCATTTTAAAGAATAGCTATAAACATTTTTCCCCCTGAATTGGTCTTTGTGCAGTAATGCTTGCTCCACACTCTTCGGTAGAACACAGATCACAAGATTAGCAGGTTCTGACTTTTGTAACTCAGTCTCCAAGATTCTGCCTTCTGGGGTCCCCACTTCCTTCAATATTAATTACAATTCTAATTACAGTTACAATTATAACCACGATGCTGGAAAAAGCTCAGCATCTTCCTCTAAACAAGCCCATGGCTTATACTCAGCTCTTCTCCTCTTCTCTTTATCACCATTCCTCTGGGACCCTGTCTTCTCCAAGCCAAGAGGCATTGCTCCCCCCACCCAATTCATCCCCCAGGTAGAAGGCTGGACTGAGGCTAGTTTGTTCAGATTACTCCTTCGTAGAAGTGTGTTAATTCTCTTATTAGAATATGAATCAATAGAAACATAAATTGCATAACACACTCACTGCCTCTCAAGTTTTCAGACTCTTTCTCCCTCAATTCCCACCCCTCTAAGCCCCAAATTGGTTAATATTACAATTTTTGCAGGTTCCCACGATGGAGACATTGAGGCTGAGAGGTACTGACATACATGAAAAAAAAATTCTCTGGTTCAGACAGAGCCTTATCTTTAATGGGTCTTTTCATTATCAAAAGTGTTTCCACTATTATGAAATTTACTCTCCCTGAAATGCAGAAATAACAGGTTTTTTAAATCATAAATATATTCTACCCACCCACGTGTTTTATTTTTTGGTAATTTTCTTTCAGCTTATAGACTTTTTGTTTTATTTAGGACTGAGTCAAAGGACACTTGTCCGGATAATTATTCTGTCTTTGCATTTGGTGGCTTTGGTTTTGCTGGTAATTTGCATAATCTAAATCGAGATGACACATTTACTGCAACACAGGTAATATATCATTGGGGATTGGGGTTCTGTACTTGGGTGTTCAGGCAGAGGTATATCAAAGATAACATGGGTAAACAGATTAGAATTTTCTGGAGAATCATTTGTAAAATTATCAGAAATCTTTTTAAATGCTCTCAAATTTCCACCTAACACTTATACTTCTAGAAATTTATCCTGAGTTAGAGAGATCCAGCATGCTCCATACAAGTAAATCCATTGTGGCACTCTGCCATTTCTTCCAGTCATCCTATTTCAGTAACACACAGGAAATTGATTAAATTAATTGAAAACCACATTATTTAAATTGTTTAAGTTAATTGAAAATTACATTATTTTCTACTAAGGAAAAGAAACAAATTTAAATCTGGCAGTAAAATAATACACAGGATGATCCACATTTTCTTGCATTGAAAAATAGCTGCTGCAGAGAAATAAGTTTTGAAGAGGTTGTCCCCTATGTCTGGACTTTAGGAGTCTTCAGGCTCTGTTTTCCCTTTGAGCTATTTCTAAAATTTCTACTTCTGAAAAGAACATTGTCTTTTATAGGTTATTTTACTTCAATCCTGTTACATTAAAAATAAAAACCTTTTTCTACACTTTCTGCAACAAGCCTGTTACTTATAGTAATTTAATTATTGTAATTTAAAATGATATGATTAAGATACCATGGACACAGGACTTCTTAAAAGACTTAGATCTAGGAAAAACTTAAATCTACTTCTTTATTTTACAGATCAGGAACCTGGAATCCAGAAAGTTAACTCAAATGCTAAGTAGACATCTGAAACAGACTCATTGTATACCGCCTTAGATGACTTGGCTAACTAGCAGTAGAGGTAGATCTAGGCCCCACAAAGCTCTCTGTTATCCCATAATCTCTCTGGAAGGTTCTAAGTGTCCTGGGAGTTTGAGATCCATCCCACTTCCCTTCCACTGGTTGATATTTGCCTATTGTCTCTGCTGAAACTAAGGGATATGGTCACAGCAGACAGTTATTCAAGGTAAGATTTTAAGTGTGACAGTGAGCAAGAGTTTCACCAATTCTTGCCTTGTGAGTGTTTTACTAATAGGCAAGCTAGTCCCTTTATCTGCTACTCCTGTCTCTAGCTGGTCAGAAGTAAAAAAAAGGGAAAGTCACAGGTAGTTTAATTTGCCCCCCAAGTGCAATCCCTGACCTAATACAATGAAACTTATAATTGGATTATGTTTACATTATAGGGGAGAGGGGCATTACATACTACTCAAGAATGAGTTTAATTTCTCTGATGGAAGTGTGCAAAAGGTCCGAACAGAGAACACCTGACATATGCAAAACTCTACAAAGGGGAACACAGAAGATGGTGTTTTCCCCCAGAGCTGGGAGCAGCTGATTTGCTAGCAAATCTGAACTTGAAGGGACAAAGAAAGGGAGAATTTTCCAGAATCTGGAAGGCTGGATCAGCTGCCTTTTAAGATGAGTGACCTTCCTTTGAAGGACACAGTGAGACCAAGATGACCTTACAGGGAAGGAGCTGGAAGAATACACCTGGTTTTGTTCTTCCCTCTGATCCCCACCCCAAGTGGAACCCATCCAGGTCAGCTTCCCAGGGCAGAGAGCAGGATGGATTCTATTGCTGGAGAAGCAGTCAGCAGATGTCAGCAAAAACAATGTCAGGGTACTGGCCACCTCTTAAAAACAGAATGTTCTGCAGTTAGACAGGCTGAAAATATATTTCAGGTTGCTATTTTAAAAGTCACAAAATCTTGCTACCTCCAGGTCCCTCACTGTAGTTTCACATGACTGTGTTTCTTACGTTTTCTTTTTAAATTCCCTTTTCTATAACTGTGCTTTAAAATGCTCATTGTCTAGGATAAGTATAAATTATCCTAGACTTTAGGAGGATCCAGAAGGAAAGCCATCTTGGAGAAGTGACCTTGTGCCCTTCATCCTTAATCATCACTCTCTACTCATGCAACTCCTCCGTGGCTATAATTTTCCATTGTTAACAGTTGGTAGGAATCAGGCTAACAATCCTAAAAAACCAGGAATTCCTAGCCTGCTTGAATTTCTTTTATCCCCACTTTGAAGCAACTGAATCAGCCATAGAATTTACTGCTGCTTATAGCTGATGAAGTTTTTCTACCCTAGAGGCATTTTTAACACTGTTTGTTGGAAGAAACATATGAAAGGGGAGAACTAAGGTGATTTTAATAACATAATTCTACTGAGGCAGGAAAAAGGGAAAATTGGAGGATTTGCAAAGAGACTTTCTAAAATTTCTATTTTTTCCTGTAAAAAACTGTTTCATCTACTGATGGGCGAGCCAACAATGCAGAAGAATACACAGTAAGGCATTTCTTTTATCAAACCATTTATAGTGTAAGAAAGCTACTGTAAAAGATAATTAAAGTTTTGATTGGCTACTGTAAAAGATAATTAAAGTTTTGATTGATTCACATATCACCGTGCAAGACTTTTATAAAGGCAAAAAAGGCAAAAGGGATTGAAGAATAATATAACAGAAAAAATATAATTAGGCTTTTCCCCATGTCTATAATTAAGCAGGCTCTACTTGCTTGAATAAATGGTTGCTCTTCTCATCTCCTATTGTTATTTGCAGAGGAGATCTCAAATGGCATTATGCATATGATGGTGCACCAATGTACTTACTCCTCTGATAGAAATAGGGGATTCCATAGAAACAGAGAGACATACAAAGTAGAGAGAAGCAGACTGCAGTTTCTGCCAAATTCAGACTGCCGTCCTTCCATACTTTTCCAGCCACTTTTAGATTCTGTGGGGACTTATAATTCACTTAAGAATTATAGTTTGATTGTATAAGCTTTATTTGCTGCACAACTTTTTTAAATTTGTGAGTTCCATTAATCATAATATAAAAGCAAAGAGTAGGGTAAATTTGTTTTTCTACTGTTAAAAACTCAGGAGCATCTAGCTGGAAGATTAAAACTGATTAGACCCAGATGTCACAACTAGTCTCATGGATCTCGGATTACAGATGCAAACCAAAGCTTAAAGCTCCCCCTCTCCAAAACCAGGCCAAAACACTACCATCATTAAATGCTTAAGGTAAAAATGGTTATTCTGACATGAACAACAGCCACTTAGAGTCCCTATGTCTTGATTCTAGGCATTCTCAGCATAACCAGCCAGTACAGTAAATGAAGACAGGACTGTCAACACACCACAAGCACCCGTACTATCCAATGACTTCACCTCCTCTTTCCTCACTGCAATTACATCAATGGCTTGACATAACTTGACAATTCTACCATTGCAAAAATTTGGAACCAACTTTTTTCCAGTATCCCATTCACTCTTCAAGCCCAAAGCATCATTCTCTGGCCCCCTACCTGTAAAAAGACTGTACATGCCTGGATGCCTGCATTCCTACTTCAGCCAGCCCAGGAAGCTACAATGATGTTCCCACCAAGAACTTAGAAGAAGTGCATCACTAAGAGCTAGTTCAACATCTGATCAGCCGATGATGGGTGAGAAAGCAGAAGAAGACAATTAATTGCTGAGACATTCTTTTCTGTGAATGGTCAATATCAGTTTAACCAAGTAGATTTGGTATGATGAGTCTTAGGGACCCAGTCAGTAAGAATGACAGTATCTCCAAGCCTGCCTAAGGCAAAGGGTTCTATCAAGTTAAGAACTGACACCTCTCAACCCCAGGTGCATAGCTGAGTGACCCTAGCCATGAAAATAATTTGGTTCACCCTTCTGGCTTAGTTGTCATATTGATTCTCATCCTTATAAATAAATTTGATTTCCATGAAAATTTTTATGCAAGGAGAGAATAGATAGCCCCGCTGACTTGATGATGAGTTCCACTTAATTTTAATCATCAATTTATAAGAAAGAAAAATCTAACCAGGATTTTTGAGACTTAGTCAATCAAGTCTCACCTCTTTAGTTTACAGGAGAAAACCAATCCTGATTTGTGTGTGAATGCCACACTTTGTCCAATTTTCCCTATCAACTGGCCTTAACTTCACAATCTCATACCTTGTACAGTTTTGTTAACTCTAAGTATTTGCCACAATATTGTGGCAGATATTCATCATTCACTGTAAAGTTCATCATAAACTGTAAAGTATGCCATCGTAAAGAAAAAAAAGGACCACAGGACACTGTGAAGAGAAAATGCTCAGAACTGCTGTAGTCTTCTTACAACAATGAGAGGGACAAATTCAAAGATCAAAGCCAGTACACTGAGGATAGCAGACAGGAACAAGCCTGGGTCTTTCAACATGGCTGAGTTCCTGAATTAGTCTTAGAGCCACCTGCATGAATCAGGATTGGATCAGAGAGGCAGACTGCTGAGAATGACAGAGAATAAGGATTTATTGTAGAGATTTAACCTTACACAACTGTGGGCCCAGGTGAAGTCTATGGCAAGCTGTCCCCTCTGCATCTGGTGCAGGACCTGAAGTTGCTGCAGGTCAGCAGTACCAGCGGTCAGGGAGGGGAGTGGAACACAGAGTGACCTGGAACCCATAAGAATGGGACAAACATATATGGTCAATAAATGCACAATAAAGGAGCTATGAACATACAATGGAGAAATGACAGCCTCTTCAACAACTGGTGTTGGCAACACTGGACAGCTACATGTAAAAGAATGAAACTGGATTATTGTCTAACTCCATACACAAAAGTAAACTCAAAATGGATCATAGACTGAATGTAAGTCATGAAACCATAAAACTCTTAGAAGAAAACATAGGCAAAAATCTCTTGAATATAAACATGAGCAATTTTTTTCCTGGACACATCTCCTCAGGCAAGGGAAACAAACGCAAAAATGAACAAATGAGACTATATCAAACTACAATGTTTCTGTACAGCAAAGGACACCATCTGTAGAACGAAAAGGCATCCTACAATATGGGAGAATATATTCATAAATGACATATCCAATAAGGGGTTGACATCCAAAATACATAAAGAACTCATGCCTCAACACCCAAAAAGAAAATAACCCAATTAAAAAATGGGCAGAGGATATGAACAGACACTTCTCCAAAGAAGAAATGCCCAATAGACACATGAAAAGATGCTCCACATCGCTAATCATCAAGGAAATGCAAATTAAAACCAAAATTATATATCATCTCACACCAGGTAGAATGGTCAACATTGAAAAAACTAGGAACAACAAATGATGGCAAAGATGTGGAGAAAGGAGAACCCTCCTATGCTGCTGGTGGGAATGTAAATTAGTTCAACCATTGTGGAAAGCAATATGGAGGTTCCTCAAAAAAGTAAAAATAGAAATACCATTTGACCCAGGAATTCCACTCCTAGGAATTCACCTGAGAAAAACAATATCACAGATTCAAAATGATGTATACACCCGTATGTTTATCACAGCACTATTTACAATAGCGAATACATAGAAGCAACCTAAGTGTTCATTAATAGATGGATGGATAAAGGAGATGTGGTACATATACACAATGGAATATTGTTCAGCCATAAGAAGAAAACAAATCCTACTATTTGCAACAACATGGATGGAGCTAGAGGGTATTAAGCTCAGTGAAATAAGCCAGGCAGAGAAAGACAAGTACCAGATGATTTCACTCATTTGTTGAGTTAACAATGAAGCAAGGACTGAAGGAATAAAACAGAAGCAGAACCACAGACTCCAAGAAGGGACTAACGGTTACCAAAGGGAAAGGAGTTGGGGAAGGTGGGTGGGGAGGGAGGGAGAAGGGGATTAAGGGGCATTATGATCACATATAATGTAGGGGGGTCACGGGGAAGGCAGTATAACACAGAGAAAAGCAGTGACTCTATAGCATCTTACTATGCTGATGGACAGTGATTATAATGGGGTGGGTGTGGGGGACTTGATAATTTGGGTGAATGTAGTAACCACATGTTTTTCCTGTGAAACCATAAGATTGTATATCAATGATACCTTAATAAAAAAAAAAGGGAACCTGTGCCTACTGGGCTTCCACAATCAATGCCATGAGTGACTTGCCAGAGTTGCTGCTCACATGCCTGGCCAGGACCCTAAAACTAACAGGGGCTGGAGAGCTGTGGGTCCGGAGAGCTATTGGTGGTCTCTACTAGCTCACCTCTTTGGCCTGGGATAATATTTACCAGCTGTCAGTGTCTTGGGCCATATGATGACCTTATGAGCATAAAATAAACAGCTACTCCATCACTTCTGCCTCTCAAATCTGGTGAAAATTTCCCTTGCAACCAGTGCTGATACACAGCCACAGGGAGAACGGAATCCTGGGACACATGTCCCCAGCTTAGCAGACACCTCCACACAGGCATACCACCTGTCATCTCTGAGCTGGGCGGCTTCTGTGAGAAGTCGCTTCAGAGTTTAAAGCATGTAGCCTACATGTGTGTTGATTTAGGAGGGTTTTACCTACAAGTTCAAAGTGCTTAACTGGCTATTTGTAAATAACACTGGTAAGAGTTTAACTTCCACCATGAGAGGCTAAAAATTATAAACTCATAGATAGAGGGATGAGTCAAGCAACGTTCACTAACTTCAGGAATAATCATTTACCAACATACCCTAGTTCCCATGGACCATAACTGGTCTAAGGATGATTTCTATGAATATTACTCACTAAGAGGCAATATAGACAAAAGAGCAAGAATGAATTTATTTTTTTAACTTCAGAATTTAAAGATTCTTGTACCAATTTAATCTTTCATGTGAAATGTTTACTTGTATTTGAGAATCAAAAAGTCCCATTAACCTTGGAAGCAAGGATTTTCCTTTTATTACATTTCCCTAATCACCTAGTTTAAACTGTTTTCATACCACATAAACATGTTCTTTTGTAATGTTTGTTTCAAGTGCAACTTAAGGTTTTTGCTGTTAAATGTGTGTAGCTCCTTGTGTGCCTCCAGCCACTGTCCTTCATTAACAAAGACTGCTTATTCTTCAGGAACCTAAAAAACAGAGTATCAGTGTGTTTTGTCAGGGTCCCATGACTCTCACCAGTGCAACACATGCCCAGAACCAAGCCCAGCCCTTTCCAGAGGTAAGCAGGCCTCAGCCAACTCTTCATTAGCTTCAAAGGGAGCCAGGGAATTGAGGCAATTATATACATTACAGAAAGCAGACACCAGTAATTCATCCCAAGGGCAAGCTCGGTCACTCTTAAACGTCTCCCTGCCTTGCCTTGCCAGCAAAGGCAGCGCCCTCTATAGAAGACCCCCTGGAGGGAACGACTCTGTAGCCACATCGCCAATTTACTCCACAGCCCTGAAACACAACTTTGTCAGAAAACCTTTTCCTTTGGTTTATGACAGTTGAGAGATTTTCAGGCCTTCCTTTTGTGAATGGGAAACAATTAGTCATTGCACTGCCAGGGATAGTTTTCCTATTTACCTTTGGCCTCTCAGAAGCAATTTCTGCTTCACTCATTTTATTCTTTGTTGGAAATAATGGTGACCAAGTTGAATGTACTACATATGTTTTGGAGGCCTTTCCACCTCCTGCAGCTGAGTGCAATCACAACACTTATGAGGCATGTCCCTAACAAATCTGTTAAATGGGGTTGCAGGGCAGGCTCTGCACAGAACCCAAATCCAATGCCATAACCTTCCTCAATCTGAGGCCACAGTTCAGCCATGTAACTGGACATAGGCTTTATCTCTGAGACAGCTGTTTAAGATCAACAAAAAAATCCCTGGAGTCTGCCAGTGACTTCTTCTCATATTTAGATTTAATATGCCATGCTTCTCAGATTTAGATTTAAATATATTCAATTT